AGTCCAAGAGGAGGTTTCCACAACAAAACAAGCTAAATTTGTCCAGGCTCTGTTAAACAAAATCTGTCAGCGATACAAGAAATGTTACCATTCTGTTCTATATAATATGCCCTTTATTAAAGCAGATGGAAAATCTCATCAAGATTGAAAACAAATCTCTTTTTCAAGAGAGATCCATCAAATGTAAATATAAGAAATGAGTACAAGTGATATTCAGTACAGAACACAAACAGTAACATGGACTCGGATCATATGCAACAACATATCAAGAACAAGAGCATCAAAACAAATCACACTCACACTGAAGAGAGCCATTTTCTCGATCCTTTAAAATGGACAAACTCCCCCACACTTCTAACAATTTCAGCTCTTTCTGTAGATTATTCCACAAAAAAGGGGGTTAGAGGAAAGAAAAGAAAACCTTCTCCCCTCCAATTCTGTTCTGACAAACGTTTGTAAAATACAGTGAGAGCAAACGCCGTACTGGTTCTGATTTTTACACATGTACGCAAATAAAACAAGACTAAACCATTTCACTCGATGGGATAAACACAGCTTTTAAATACATGTCATACACTTCCATAAATGAAGTTAAAAAAAATGACTCCATTAGCTGAGTTGATGGGGAGATTTGTCGCATGTCATTACCTCCTCTCTCCCTCGGTTTAATCTAGATAATCAAATACACAATAAAGACAAACAAAATCAAAGTATTGGGGCTGAAAGTACAATACTGATGACATCATGCTGCGAATGCTTTACGATATCAATTTTACCACATTTCCACCTGCTATTCGCAAGAGATCATTGGAACATCTGTAAGAAGCATGTAGTAAGAGGCCTGTTAGAGTAAGAAGTTGAGAAATGAAATCTGGGTAAATATTTCATCTTTCCAGTCAGTGTAAGGAGCCTCTTATTCCTCATTTTACACCAGAGCAAAAGGCACCTTAAAAACGCACGCACTGCAACACATGTTCTTCCGTTTGAGGAAGTGTCCATCACATGTCTCCAATCTGCCTTAAATTTAGCACTGTTTTGACTGTAACAAAAACAACTGTTTGCTGTTTAACACACTGAGAAATAATAAAAACAGCTCAGAGACATTGTGAAAACCTTTATGACCTAAGTATCGTACAGAACAGCTGGAAATATTTTTTCATTTTGACTATAAAATTACAAAATAATTCTCATCTTTCAGGAATTTAGAGATTTTTTGCATCTAGCCCAAAAATGGTCGAGTAGTTCAGGTAACATGAAGCCCACACTGTAAAATCTAGGCGGAGCTGATTTTTCTGTCTGTGTTCAGACAGCGTTACGTTGTGAATGCTTTGTGCTACGGTGATACACCAAATATCCCCGTAAAGCTCGCCTTCTCCTCTTACCGGAACTGTCTGAATTTTGTCTCTAGCAAAAGTGGTAATGGAGTTACAGTCATTCAAAGAGCGCTGGACCGCGGGTAAAAATGAAAGAGTTTAAAGGGTGGGAGGAGAGTCCTCCTTGACGATTCATCAGACTTCGCCCTACATGCTGTCACTGATGACTAAGGTCAGGAAAGCAGGTAGCTAAGAAAGGCTTAGTCCATATTAGTGCTGACATGCTCTGCTGAGGGCCTTCTCTCCTTCATACACAAATGAACACAGCCTACTTCTGCTACATCTGAAGGATTGGCCCAGAAAAGAAGACTCTCTGCATACTGATCAGAGATGCAAACAGACAGCGACCCCACACACATATCAACAAGTGCACTCCATGCACTAGAAAGCGCTCAGAAGCAGATTGGGAGGAACTGCCAATCATTTCCAGTTGTATTGCAATGTCAAAACAGCACCTCGGCACGGAGCATCAGCATTAGCCGACAAACCAGAACTCATCTGTGCAGAATTTTGCTTGGGTCAGCGATTTCTCTCAAGCAAACTTGACAGACGGAAGGTGATATAAAGCAGGTAGGCTGGACACAGGGATGAACAAGACATGAACTTTTACCTCTGGCCCAGTAGAGAGATGGGAGGGCGTGCACTCCCAGCGGAAATACACACTGGGTGTCATCTTCTTGTGTGTATGACCAGTCAGCGGCCGTTCCCTTCTCTTCATATGGAGGCGGCTCATTCCAACGTACACACAAAGATCGGGTTCAGCTGAATGGCCTAAATGGCAGCAGAAGCTCCTGGCCACAGCGGCTCAGACCAGCTGAATGGTCCTCATTGTGTCCACCACAGTCACAGGGGGCTCGCAGAAATGAGTTGTTTTCTAAGAGGCCATTTGGCAGGCCAGTGTTCTTATCCGAGCAACACAGGAACAGGCATTTCCACTTGCTTCAGATGAGGGCTTGTTATGGACTCAAGAAAGACGGCCCATGAGGCACGCATCCAGTCACAAAGGGACTAACAAACTTATACATACATGGACGTGAAACGGACTTTATACCACCGCCCCCAATCCACTCTTTCCACTACACTCAGTGTCTCGCAGCTAGAATTTAAAAAGCATTGCATTCATAAGCCATGATGTCACACGAGCATGTGTCGAAGTCTAAGTGTCAACACCAGAATACTGGGAATTTGCCCGCTTCTTGTACCAACCGGTTTTTGAACCTCGTGTTTCTGACGGGCGCTCGTCAACAACAACAGAAATGCAGAGTTTTAAAAGCAGTTCCTGTTTGCAAGAAGTGCATTACTGTGCAAGTGCGTAACAGACCAAAAATAATGGTGACATGCTGTTAACCACAAAGATTAACCACAAGCAAGTTCCGATTCCGGTAAATAATCAGAAATAACTCTAAAACATGTACGGCAAACACAGGCAAAACATATTTGCATTTTTACTCTTAGTAAGTCATAAATATCAGTGTAATTTGCTATATTTATCATATATCATATTGCTATGATGCAAAACAACAAACAAATTTAACCCACAATACACCCTGAGATTTTAACGCTTGTTTAATATTATATGTTATGTCTTTGTTTTATCTGTCTGATGTATCTGGTTCTTATCTGTACTTTTATTGTTTATATAAATGCTACCAAGGAACCAGAGGGGCAGATGAAAATCAGCCTGTAATTCGCCAAACCTGACTCCAACTGCTTGTGTTAATTTTTGTACCACGTGTCCATTTATAGAAAATGAGCATAAAGATGAAGGAATAATTGGCAAACCTTTCTTAAATAACCTGTGATCTAATATAACATAGCGATCTTATAGACCTCAGTCTCCCCCTGGGGCATCTAAAGGTGTTGGCCCAAAATGACTCCCTTCCAACAAGAGTCCCTCTAGTCCCGTTTCATCGCTGTGGTGCAACGAGAGCTCGTGCTAACCTACAGAGGCCCAGCATGTTTAGTCCACATAACTGCGTTTTACTATATATGGATGTTTTAATCTGTTAACGTGAAAGTAGTACTCACAGCCCTCCATCTAATTTTGAACGCGCTATTGAAGACAACTTCACTTCCTTTAATGGCGTGTTGTTTAAAAATGTGACATATCACTGCGAGACTAATGAGAAATTTCCACATACAGGTTGTACCCAGCCTCTCACCCAGTGAACGTCTCCTGCCTCCATGGAGTGGATGTACTGTATATACCACTAATGGGCTACAGTAACCAAAACAGAACAACTGCTGAGATTCATCAGCAGGTCAGGTCAGCACACTAAATCCTTTTTAAATCTACAGCTGAAAACACCTTTGAGTAATGGACTAATATCATTATTATACTCTGATCGAACACTTTGGTATTTTTATTGCAGTCAGTATCTTTTTACACAGTGTCATAACCCCCTTTTTAAGCCTTTATTACTCCCAGATATGAAATCATCATGTATTTACATCAAAACGCATGCATAACCAATTATAGGAGGGTAGCTATATATGATGCTATATTTAGAACAAACAATAACAAAATGCTATGGACGCTGTGGATAACTAGAGGGGTCACTGCACAGGAGGATTAGATTTAGCTGCATGTATGGGGGCCACAAAGCAGGGGAAAAGGAGGGGGTACTGTCACGGATGTGTGACAGTGTGTCATTGGTGGGGTAGTGGGGCAAGCAGCTGCTCTGGGGGAGGGGTTGATATCAGCCCTGCTTTGGATAAATGAATGGTCCCAATATTGGGGTGCATACACACGTGACAACAAGCCTCACATCACTGTGACCACAGGCACAGGGCAGTGTAGTATATGAGGAGGAGCATAGGCAGGTAAACCCATGATTCCAGTAATAACAGGGCTGCACAGGTGTGCAAGGCTCGGTAAACTCTACGTTATCACTCCGGTGAATATCACTGAGGTCACAAACTACGTGTGGTAACTACGGGCAGTCATACATGACAGACTGTATCTTCATATGACACCACGAGCGGATGATGACTATAGGCCTGCTCATCTGATTTCAACACCACTCACAGTGACTCACACTTTTATAGCAATCAGCCGGATTTTTTTCCCAGATGAAAGTTGAGGTTTCAATTACGCCTAACTGGGAGCCATGTGGTTACAGCTGAATAAAATCAATACAATATGAAGAAGTACAACTGGATAACAAGAAAAGGGGTACAGCCCTGAACGCCTTTCAACCAAGCCACACACACACACACACGTAGTGGTGTTTAAAGACACACATTCACACAGCAAACGAGAGGACTTCTGATCTTGTTAATCAACCTTCAGTTTTAAATGAGCTTCGAGAAAAAGAGGAATATAACAAAATAAACAGAAACAAGGGGAAATGGATGGAAGCCTTTCTCTTCCTCATGTACAATGCTGCTTGCCATGCACTGCTAGCTCAAATGCCCACATCCTGTACTAGCACAAAATAAGCTAGGTGGCAGAGCCTGAGAGCCTGAAGCATGCTCTCATTCAAATTTTTCATAAAGGAAAAGTAGACGATGAGGATGAACCTCTGGTATAACCTATGCCGGTCAGCCCAGACAGCTGAGACATACACAGCTAGCCTGACAATCTGCTACAGCATCCCCCCCATCAGCCCCCCGCCCCTCCTTTACCTTCAGACAGCTCCAGATCCAACTCAGCCAACTGGTCTCTAACCTCTTTAGGCAGGGCGGACAAATCCACGCCGCGGTCCGCCATGGCTTCGCCGATAAACTCGAGTGGCGTCTAGTTGAAAAGAAACCGGGCTGTTGCGAGGAAACGTTAAAAAATTAAAAACAAAACCCCTCCCTCAAGACACAAAACAAGCACCGGAGTGGGAGAGACAGTCCATCCGCACGGCTGGCCCTTCCGCCATAATGGGGGAAACTCACCAACGGCAACGGGCGGTCACGTGACTGCATTTACCTCGCCTGCGTGTGTTGATTCGCCGCATCCGAGAAGGGAGGAGGAGGTGGAGGTGAAGGAGGTGAGGGTCTCACCGACACCGCTGCTCCCCCTGGCGTTTCAGTGGCGAACAGACACACACAGGGAGACACGGACACACAGTCCCCGCCCTTCATTGAGTTCAAGAGGGTTAAAAGAAAAGATTAAAACTTCTTTATAAAGATGACTGAAGGTTTTTTGTTTTTTTTTGGGGGGGGGGGGGGGGGGATACAGGTTTCACGCACGAAATGCACATGTTTTGTGTGATCGTTTACTTAACTGTGCATGTATAAATCAATTAAAACGTACTCGACTTACTAAAAAAACTAAACCACAAAAACTGAAACTGGTGCAGCATCTGATTCCTGCTGTTAGCAGCTTTCTGGGACTCAGAAGATAACCTAATGGCCGATTTACACTACAGAGGTGCAACAATAGTCAATTTCCAGAGAGATCAGGGAGAGAAACTTTGCTGGAGACCAAAAATAGTGTATATTTGTCACACTTAAATGCTTTGGATCATCAAGCAAACATAACCTGAGTAAATGCAAAATGCATTTTTTAAGTATTGATTATGTTTAGCAATCAAACCTGCATAAAAAGGTAACTACCCCCTTTGTTAAATCATGAATTAAAAGGCTTTTCTAAGGATCCACGGTGAGAGCCATTAGCCACTTATGGAGAAAACATGGAACAGGGGTGAACCTTCCCGGGAGTGGCCGGCCTACCAAAAATACTCCAAGGCTCGAGATTCATCTAGGAAATCACAAAAGAACACAGAACAGCATCTAAAGAACTGCAGGGCTCATTTGCCTCAGTTAAGGTCAGAATGTGATGCTTAGTTGCTTCAAAACGACTTGCCCTAAGTGATGGACACATGAATTCTGCTCACTACCACAAAACCACATTTCTGAATGGCTAAAAAAAACCAACAATAACGAAATGAAAGTTTTGTTGTGGTCTAGTGAAAGTCCATGCTTAGATCACAATGTGTTGTTTTGGCATGACCTTAAACCGGCTGTTAATGCTCAAAAACCATCCGGTGTGGTTGAATTAAAACAATTCCTCAATAGCAGAGTGAAAGACTCAGTGCTAGTTATGAGAAATGCTTGATTGCAGTTCTTGCTGCCAAAGGTGGCCAATTATTAATTATTAATAACCAGTTATTATGCTTAGGGACAAAGATGGGTGAAACATGTACGTGTGACAAATATGCAAAGGTATAATATTAATAATTTATAACATTGCCCAGTAATTTCCTGTTAAGAAATTACTGGAGGGTTTTTTCTGTTCTTGTAAAGAACAAACAGGAAGTGCCACACAGGCCTATATAATGCAGAGAGTCAGATATTTGAAAAAGCCACAGCACATTTCTCTCGCTCTGACATGAGTTGAGAAGAATTTGACTTTAAGTCAGTCTTTGCAAAGTTCATGTAACACACAGTTGCAGTGCTGAAAACTGCCTCTGCATAAGCTCATAAAGTGACCTTGAGCACTTACGATCATCAGTGTGGCATCTTCACTGTAACCACGCTAAAAATAAATATTCCCTTCAGCCACTCCCGCACCAGTTTAGGACTTCTCCAAAAAGTTCTGTTAATGTTTTTTTCTTCTTCTAGGAAACATGGACATTGTCTTGCGAGGAAAACAAGCTTCAAAGCAAACTGAACATAACAACTTAATTGCAGACTGCTGTCACTCTGCATTTCCAAAAATACTGGATTACTGGACAGCAAAACACAGCTTAAAAGCAGGGCCACAGCGAGCATTTTCTAGGCCAACAAGAACCCCTTCACACACCCGTAATGTCACAGGTAGTTATAATTCTTTGAGTTAAATGTCTAAGTATATGGACTGTAAATGTACAGGATGGTTTAAATATTTACTGTTTTTTTAGTCCAGTCCTTGTACCTGAGCATTTCAGAAGAAAATGTTTTATTATTTTTGTTTGTTTGTTCCTTCTTTACTTATCACATTCACTATATTTTGAGAAAAACTTGACCTTGAAATCGAGGTCACCAAGATTTTTAGCAGATTAAACCATGATATGAATTTCAAAATCTTACATCCCCTCGTTCTTGAGTTATCACATTCACAAACTTGGATGTCCATGCCGCCTGTCCACCTGCTAGCCTGGCAGGCGGACAATACTCCATCAGCCTTTTACATCTAGCTGACGAATAAAACATATTTTTGCACCAACCAAAATTACTCCACGAGCACAGCAACAGCAGGTCACAAAAGAAACCAGAACGGCATTAAAGAACTGGATTCTTCACGTGTCAGTTAAGGTCAGAGTTCATGATTCAATAATAAGAAAGAGACTGAGCAAAAATGGCATCCATGAGAGAGTTCAAGGAGGAAACCACTACTGACTAAAGAGAGCGTAAAAGCTTGTCTCACATTTGCCAAAAAACACCTTGATGATTCCCAAGACTTTTGGGAAAATACTTTGTGGTCTCGTATTAAACTAACGCAGTGTTTCAGAAAAGGAACATCATACCAGCAGTAAAAGAGGGTGGTGGTAGTGTGATGGTCTGGGGCTGTTTTGCTGCCTCTGGACCTGGAAGACTTGCTGTGGTAAATGGAACTATGAATTCTGCTGTCTACCAAAACATCCTGAAGGAGAATGTCAGGCCACCTGTTCATTACCTCAAGCTGAAGCGCACGTGGGTTCTACAGCAAGACAGCGATCCACAACACACCAGCAAATCCACCTCTGAATGGCTTAAGCAAAACGACATGGCCTAGTCAAAGTCCTGACCTGAATCCGATTGAGATGCTGTGGCATGACCTTAAAAAGTTGGTTCATGCTTGAAATTCCTCTAACATGGCTAAATTACAACAATTGTGCAAAGATGAGCGAACCAACTCATTGCCAGTTATCGCAAATTCTTGATTGTACACTGGTTGCTGCTAAGGGTGACCCAACCAGTTATTAGGTTCAGGGGGCGATCACCTTTTCACACAGGGCCATGCGGGTTTGGATTTTATTTTCCCCTTAATAATAAACACCTTCATTTAGAAACTGCATTGTGTGTTTAATTGTGTTATCTTTGTCTAATATTTAAATCTGTTTGATGATCTGAAACATTTAAGTGTGACAAACATACAAAGTAGGAAATTGGGAAGGGGGTAAACACTTTTGCACACTAGTGTAATTTGGTATGGACAAGTAAAGGACAAAAGTAGATCGGTAGACACGGTCGGCCTAAAAAATATCTAATACATATGAAAGTGTCTGAAATTCATGTACTTAAAAAACTGTTTGCTGAAGCTTCATCAAAATAGTCTCAGTGGAAGGCTGGCTGTCAAGAAGACATGCTTAAGAAAGGGAAATGTGAGACACTGTCAGTCATGGATTGGCCTCCTCGGAGTCCAGACCTCAACATTATTGAAGCAGTGTGGGATCATCTAAAGGCAGCTATCAGCCAAAGAAGAGCTTTGAATGTCCTTCAAGAAGCCTGGAGAATTAATCCTGAAGATTATTTAAAGAAATAACGGGGAATCTTATGTCACAGAGTTCACACTGTGCTGAAGAATAGAAGTGGTCATACCAAATATTGACTTTCAAGCTCATTAGAATTGTACAAACTGTTGTTGTTGTTGTTGTTTTTGCCTTAAAGATCCACATATGTCTGCATGCTTCAATAAATCCATGCATCAATTTCCCATTTTCCAAGTACAATATTTAAAAAGTGAGGAGGGGCTCAAAATCTTTGGACAATATTGCAGAAGTACTTGAAAGAGTATTATTCAATGCCTTTGTATACATCATTTCCTTTCATATCTCTTTTTAATCAAACTAAGTCTCCACTTTAATCATTCATATTAATAATTACATTACAATAGAAAACATGTTTTGATATGATAACTGAACACAGATAAAACAGTATAAATGTTCATTATGATGTAGTTTCTTTAATTAAAACTGCAGCACTGTAAGTGTTCATGGTATTCCTCTTGGACATGCATGGAAAAGTAAATATATTCATATAGTACAGATATGTACAATACAAGGACAATTTTAGAAATTATCAGTCCAACAAAGGGAGTGTGAAAAACCATCAATACACTATGTGTAATTTTCACATTACTGTATTTCCCACTAAATTGCTATGTTTAGAACAAGTCTGGCCCATCGTTAACAGGCCAAAGACTGTAAAGATTATTGTTATTTGACCAATTTAAACAATAAGTTAGACAACGAAGCTCAAAAGACACGACCAATTGTTAAAAGGTATTAAAAAAAAAAGAAGAAAAGAAAAAGAGGGGGTAAAATTTCTTTTAAAAGGAAAAAAAAAGAACAAAAAGCACAAGTCCATTTTTCTGTTGAGAAAACAAACCAACAAAAACACAAATCGTTGTGTTAAAGAAATTAGTCTATATTCATCAGCGCAATCAGAAGCGTTATGATGAAGAGTGTGGTGCTAAAGACAGCACGCAACAAAATAATACAAGAAAACATAAAAGCTAAATGCAGTTTGAATTTTCATTTCAAATGAACAATCGTCTATTTGACTGCCAGCAACTTACACAAATTGCCGAGGTCGCCGTTGAGACTGTAGGAGGAGAGGTTCAGTCAAAAGGGAAAAGGTATTAAAGTTGCTCAGCAAATTCCCATTTGTGTATACAGTACAGATAACAGAAAACCATCATTAAAGAAAAAACAAAAAAACATTCTGATATCTCTGAAAAAAAAAAAAAAGTAAATTGAACAGAAATACAAAGCAATAGTTAACCTGCATTACTTTAGTGCATAAATGTCCTTATGTTAATAAGTCATATCCTGTTTTTGAAATATCATATCTCGCGAAAATATTAAGAAAGAGGGCAAAAGAGGGACAGGGGGGGAAAAAAAAAAAAAAGCAAACCACTTTGAGCATTCATGTAAAAATATATCGATATCTGGATAAAACATCTGGGGGATATTGTAAAAGAACTAGAGCCTTTCAG